TAGAACTAAATAAGAGTCCTACGGTGTGCCGAGAGACCCGGTATTCGGCATTGTGGGGAGGTCTTCCCCATTGAGCACCCACGTATACACCATCTAACGGGAAATTATACAAGACCAAGTCTGACCAATTGTCAGAAGGATGTTTAGTCCCGTAGAGTGAAAGGAGAACGACCTCCACAACTCATAAGCAGGAGAGGTATGACATTAGGTAGTTGGTATCCCAGAGGATCCTAGTCCCTTGGGCATCCTCAGGTAGTGATACCGGCTGCAGTTCCGTCTCCATCCTCACATAAGGGATCAAGATGCAGAACCGAACCAGACAGGCTGGGAATGTCCAGATGGTCGTCGCATCCCTGGGTTCCCAGATTCTCAAGAGGTCCCCGGCAGCCTGCTGACCTGCCAAGAAACCTCCAAAGCGGGTCCAGGTCCCCAGATAGCCGACCCTCCTGGGACAGAAGATGTGAGTACCCTACGGCTCCGTGAGGAATTGTTTGTCATGAATGTAGCAGGAGAAGATCCTCGCATGCTCAAGAATTACTGTAGACCTTGTAAGCATGAGAAGCATAAGTCCTCCGGGGAGGTCCGGTCGGATGGAGCGAGATCACCATCTTGCCTCGACTTATACTGTGACAAGTGGTAATATCCAAATCAGTCGGCCCCTATGAGATGTGTCTCCCCCGGGAGAGGGTTGATCTTCTGTGAAGAAGAGGGGGATCAAAGGAGCCTACATGTTGTCTGATAAACGTGAGTTGGTCCATCGCGGTGGATGTGAAACCTGACCGCCTAATTTGTGGTTACCTGCAGTAGGGTGCAGCCGATCTAGTACTTCTTTATCAATCCATGCATTGTGAAGTATAGGACCAAGAAGTCTAGGTATACAACGTACAGGGTCGCGGTGGTGCCGCGGAGAGTCGGACGAATATTCCCAAGTTGTGGAATAGTCTACGAATCCTCTGAGCGAATAGTCTTCTACAAGAGGTTCCAGCCGGTTCTCGGATGAACGTGGATGTTGGTGAGTTTTCAGTTCACTGGAGTGATCTGAATGAGGTTCTACCGGAAGAGTGTGTCTTCCACGCCTGTATTCATTACTTCTTTCGGTAGTTTATCAGGGCCCATCAGGCTTCGAGCAACTGGACTGGGAAGGAGAGGATTGTAGCGGAACGCCAATATTCAATCCACGAATTCCGCTGGTTCAGGAAATAATCCACAGTCAAGCGCTGAAACAACAAGGCAATATCCCCAACCTCCCAGTAACCGCACGAGACACAGTTCTGAGAGTCAACTGAAATCCTTTAATTCGGCTGCACAATTTATACAAGTCCCCATGCAAGGGGTTTCCTGAGTCCCTTCCCAGGGGCACTCCCAGAGGGGACTACATGGGGGACTTACATTACAGCATATTTCTCCCATCAGGCACTGCTGCACGAGAGGGTCCTCCTCCCAGAACCCACCGTTAAGTGGATTATCCCCTCGTGCAGCAGAACCGACAATTTACACAAAAATCCATAACTTGGTGAATGTACGGTGGATTTACACGAATGGACGTTCGGTAGATAGCTGGGGTCTGAGCGCCTCATTCGTGAGATTACCGCTCAGATCCCAGCTAAAATAACCGAACGCCGCACGAAAAACACATTTCTTATAAAACATATAAAAAGAACCGATTGCTTTTAGGGAACAAAATACCGAATGGCCCGAAACTCCCGAACGTCCTGGAGGCTCAGCGGTGTTCGTGCCGTCGAGTAGCCGTTTTTAGTACCATGCGCTCGACGACCTAGCACCGCTGAGGGAACAAAGGATCCAAGATGGCCGACCGCCGCATGGTCGGTAGTCGAACGACGGCCACCCAGGAGAGCCTCTAATTACCGATTGCAACATTGTTGCAATCGGTTAACCAGCGCCACACGCCTCTAAGTGTGTGGGCTATTAGGGGTATTGCGTTCGGTTCACGAACGGCCCTCCAAAGTGCCGTTCGTGAAACGAAAGAAAATCCCCATACAAACCGCCATTTGCATTCGGCAGATGGCAAATACAGGCAATTCAGACAATACATGTAGCATACAACATACAGAGTAAAGCACATATCTCCTCAGACCTATAGGCAACCCTTAAAGATATAGTCTCTGGTTATAGTCCAAGTGGCTAGGTTTGCCACAAGGATGTCCCCTGAAAACTGGGTAAGGTGGTCGAGCTGGAAGCAAGAAGACCGCCCTGACTCAAGTCGGGTGACTACGTGAAAGTGGTCTTCCACAGGATTGAGTGCCTTTCACCTAGATGTGGTGAAATCCCCTGTGGATGTAGTAGGAGGTATATTGATGGTATCTGTGCATACCATGTTCTCTGTCCGCTTATCTGGAGCACCATTGGTTGACTCTCGTCTATATGGGTAATAGAGCCAGCGGAAGCGGATCTCGGGTCTAATGTCCCGAAGTGGTTGACGACCAGCTCTGTTGCCAACCGGTTCCAAAGAATCCCTTGTAAAGGTAATCGCATACCACCTCCCTCCTAGGGGTTTGGGCCCTTATGAAAGCTGTGGGACCCTTGTGTGTCTAATAAGTTCCCTTCGGAACTTTGTGCCTTGTGCCTGGGGTTCCGACTATCTTGGCGCCCAGTACCGCCAACCATCCGTCAGTGAGGACGAGTGCTGCTATGGGCATCCTATGGGAGAGGCCAACACTGGGGTTTCCTGCGAGGCGCAGAAAGAGTTTTTTTGAGTCCATATACCCAAGTTGTATGCCCGTTCCCGGACGATGTTTGGCGGCATCCAGCATTGCCCATGGTAAGGTCGTGAATCCTGAAAGACCTCCTCCGTTGGTCACTATAGTCTTCTGTGCCGTTTTGACCGGCATGAAAGGGCTTGGGTTTGTCCGACCGTCAGCGGATATGGACATTCTAAGCAAGAGGCTGCAAAGCCACGAGTGTATAACGTTGTCAAGTAGGTTTATCGTAGTAAGGGATACACCTGTGTAAGGCACAAACCAGTAGTCAGGCACAGGATGCAAGGCAAACAGATCAGTCTACTATGACACTAGGCAGTGTTCACGGAAACCCTTGTGGGTCTATTCAGAATTGTGGCCAAATAACAGACTGGGGCTCACCCAGTACATAGAGGTTGCCATAGCATTGCCCCCGTTCAGCAGCACCATGCAGCACACCTATAGTGGGGGCTCACCCCAGGTGCACAGGGTATGAACCCTTAAGTGCTGGTCATCGCCCTGATAGAGAGTGTCAGCCACCTCTTCCATTATTAAATTCACCTCAAGGGGAATATATATCATTAAGTAGGCGGCTTGGAACTCCTGTTCGACATTTTAGTGCAGTGCATGCCTAGCTGGGCCCGGTGCATAGGGCGTGGGCCTTTAACTGCAGGCCGCAGAATAGGTACAGGGCATAAACCCGTATCGTATCATGAGGCATTCCTTCAGCTGTAGGTAGAGGCTGTTGCTGTAAGACTTCCTTCGGTCGGGTAGTGTGACTCGCCTATCGTAGGGGTCTCACCCCAAGAGCACCGGGTCTGAACCTGTAAGTGCCGGTCCCAGATTCGAAGTTCGGATTTTCAATCCTCGAGCTCGCTGTTGAGAGGGATAGGAGTAGAAGCAGCAATGCTGTAGGGGGCTCACCCCAGTTGTACAGGGTATGAACCCATCAGTGCTGACCATCAGCCTGATAGAGAGTGTCCTACAGCTCTATCAATAATTAATGCACCGCCATGAGGGATATTCTGCACTGAAGCTTGCAATTCTGTCCCTTTTTTGCTGAATAGATTGGCTTATACCTAGTCAGAGATCACCTGAGGTGCGCGGGGTATGTACCCGTCAAGCGTGGGTCGCTGCCAAATAAAACAGACTGGATGATAGCACAATCCGTTTCATAGTGTGCAATGCACCATGCAGACACCATCAGGGTGTAGTAGTGTGAAATTTATTGTGTGCAATTTATTGTCTCAAAGTATCAAAACAACCCCAGCAGAGTGTGTGATATGGGGTACCCCAGCAGGGTATCTGTTGTAGTGTAAATAATGCCAGTGGACCCCAGCAGGGTCTGTATAAATGACAGTAATGTGTAATAACCCCGGCAGGGTATTCTGTATCTGTCACTTAGTGTTGTCAAATTGTCCCAGCAGGGCAAACCACAAGGATAATAGGATATAGCACTAGCTCTAAGCTCCGTCGTCCTCTGACAGGTAGTCTTAAGTGATAGGGGTCATCCCTTTGAGCATCCATTACCAGACACAGAGTCTTGCTGTAGATTTCTGAACCCTGATCCAGGTGATATCCCTTCAAATCTCCCATCACTGATATGTACTTATACAGTACCATCTTGATAGTCTGTGTCCAAGGGTGCTATCCCTTTAAGGAATTCAAGGGTGGTATCCCTTTAAGGATTTGGTATCCCTTTTAAGTAGTTCTGTTATGGGCAAATGCAAATATTACAAGTTTTAGAATGAAATGTTGTATTTCTTAAACTGTGTACTTTGTCTTTAAGAGATATTGCGAACTGACAAGGTGTTAGAAATGGAACATATTGTTTTTCATAGATGTTTCTTTAAGCAATAACCTCAGTGCATAATATGTTTGCACCATTTTGTCCCAGACGAATTACAATAACAATAATGCATAAACAAGCTTCAAGGCTATACTATGACTCTTGCAGTACACAATATACTGTGGTAACCCCAAGTTAATGGAACTTCCCCAAATCCAGGAATCTCCCACGACTGTACACTTACGACTTAGTATAAACAACAGATAACCTATTCAGACTTTAAGATGCCATCTTGAACTAAGTCAGGAAAATTTCCATGACGTATACACCCTTTAGTTATGGCCTTGTATGTTTGCCAAGTTAAGGGAGGTCCTAAAATGAATAAAGTAAAAGAAGTGTTACTTTTTCATATTTGAACTATGGTAACTCTAAAATGACGACACCGAAGGTATAAATAGGTGTACTTTTTTTTTTTTTTTCAATTTGACAATTTTTATTGTTGATAAGAACAGGGGAGGGGGGGTACAGAAGAGAAGAAGGAGGGGGGGGGGGTTTCCGTGTTACAGTATATGTCACTCGGTACAAGGCGACATAGCGTAGTAGCATAGTAGCTTGGTAAAACAGTAATGGTTTGGACAGTGGTATTAATAATATTGTTGTTAAGAAAAATAAGCCGCACAAAATTGCTTAGTGTAATTCTAGTCCATGCGCCTACCCATGGGCTTGGGTGATCTGTGTAGTTTGGAGTATACTTCCCCATGCGTAACCTAATCCGATGCTCTTTCGCTTTGCGAACACAGTGGGTCAATACAATGCATACATATTGCTATGGTACAGGAATGAGTCGCCTTACTCAGGGTTTGCCAATCTCCACGCGTCCCACACATCCCATGCTGTCGTCCCTGTACGGGTGGGTGGGCATATATTCGTGAAGCAACGCTCATAGTGCCTCTGCTCAGCTATTTCTGAGAGTACGTTTTGTATCTTAGGAGTGGTTGGAGATTTCCAGGCCCGCGCTATAAGGCGTTGAGCCGTTAGTGTTGTGTGGAAAATTAGTTTTTGGAGGTACTTAGGAGTGTGGGGGGGAGTGTGCAGTAGCAGGTACGTGAGCGGGTCTAGGGGCAGTGTAAGTTTCGTGAGGTCTTGTAGGAAGGAGTGCACTGCTTCCCAAAAGGGTTTTATCAGTGAGCACGTCCACCAGATGTGTAAAACTGATCCGGTGTGCTTCCGACATCTCCAGCAGGTGGATGAAGCGGCGGGGTACATTTTAGAAAGCCGCTCCGGGACCATGTACCATCTGTAAATCATTTTTTTGTTCTGCTCCAATAACGGTGCTGATTTAAGGAGGGTTTTGGGTGCGGTAGATAAAGTGTTCCACTCTTTGTGAGTGAGCTCAATGGTCAGATCTTCTGCCCATTGTCTAGCTGGCGTGGCCTCTGAGAGAGGGGTGAAGTCTAATAGCAATTGGTAACACGTGGAGATTGGCTTACAGAGTGGGGGTAGTTTTTTATTTATACACATTTTCTCCCATGTTGTAAGTTGGTCGGTGGCTATTTGGCTGGGCGGTACTTGTGTAGCTTGTTTGTGCAGGAAGGAATGAAGTTGTCTGTAGGAAAAATGAGATGTCAGGGGGACACCGTGGAGTGAGTGTAGGGTGTGAAAGTCTAGGAGCTTTGAGTTAGCGTGGAATTGGCCTAAGTATTGGAGCCCCTTCTCCTGCCACGGTTTAGCGTAGAAGGTGGGAATGCAGTATGTGAGAGCCGCTGTCGGTGTGGCTGGGGACAGAGGGCCGCTGGAGGTCAGTTTATGTCTGTGTGCGTCCCAAACTCGTATGAGTAGGGCGAGTTGGGGAGGGATATCTTTTAGGGGGGGGCGAAGCTGTTGCGGGAGCCATAGTATGTGGGTGATGTCATACGGAGTCATCATGAGCTTCTCAAGCCTGACCCATTGCGGGGGGCTTTGGTCAACAAAATGGGGGATGGCTGCTGCTAATATGGATGCGTGGTAATAGGTACGCACGTCAGGGACTGCTAAGCCTCCTGCTCTAGCTGGAGCTCGTAGGAGCTTCATTGAGATGCGGGGTTTACCCTTGTTCCAGATGAAGTTGGTGATATCGCTCTGAATCGCTTTAAAATAGGATTGTGGCATTGGTAATGGGAGGTTCCTAAAAATGTATTGTAACCTGGGGAGTATGGACATCTTAATCGCCACTATTCTCTCAGTCCAAGTCAGGAAGAGGGATCCCCATTTTGTCAGGGATTGTTTACACTCTGTCCAGACCCTGATATAGTTGGTTGCGCTTAGGTCAGCGCGGCGTCTGGAGAACATAACACCTAGGTATTTGATGTTATCCCGCCTCCATTCGAAAGGGTATGTCCTGCGTAGTGTTTCCATCACTTGGGGGGGTAGGCCAATTCCCAGGGCTTGGGTTTTTGTGGTGTTCAGTGCGTAGTAGGAGCATAGGCCATATTCCTTGATGATGTGCATAATTACAGGGATCGTGGTCATGGGATCGGTGACATAAAGGAGGATATCATCCGCGAAGGCGCTAACTTTGTAATCTGTTCCCTTAATTTGGATCCCTTTGATGTCAGGATGGTTTCGAATGGTTTGCAGGAGGGGTTCTAACGCTAACACGTACAGCAGGGGGGATAGGGGGCACCCCTGCCTCGTTCCATTGGACAACTGAAACGGGTCAGACATAAAGCCTGCCTGTAGTACCTGGGCTGTCGGACCCGCATACAGAGCAAAAATTTGTGACTCAAACTGGGGGGGGAACCCATAGGCTCTCAAGGCTTGTTGCAGGAAGGGCCAGCTTAGGCGGTCAAAAGCTTTTTCGGCGTCAAGTGCTAGTAATAGACCGCCTCCTCTGGTCCCCCTGAGGTAATCCAGGATCAGCGACAGTTTCCTGGTATTATCTGTTCCCTGTCTTCCTTGTATGAACCCTGTCTGGTCATCCCCAATAAGGGATGGCAGGACCCTATTTAGTCTATTCGTTAGGATCTTCGCATAGATCTTTGCATCTGAGTTTAGAAGCGATATAGGGCGGTAATTTTTACAGGTGTCCGGGGGTTTGTCGGGTTTCGGGATGGTTACTATGGTAGCCCGGAGCATCTCTGGTGGGAGCGCGCCCGTGGCAGTCGCCCTACGGTACACTTTTAGCAGGTGGGGGCCCAGGACGTGCGCAAATTTTTTGTAGTAGGCGTTTGGGAGCCCATCTGCTCCTGGTGACTTCCCTTGTGGCAATTTGGCGATCGTTTCAAGCACCTCTGTGAGCTCAATGGGCCTGATTAGTGCTTCTGCCTGTGCGCTCGTTAGTTGGGGGAGTTTGGCTTGGGATAAAAATTGGGTTATGTCGTCTAAGCTAGCGTTGTGAATGCTGCCCTCCTCTTTTAGGTTGTAAAGTTTAGAGTAGAAATGAGCGAATTCCTGGCTAATATCCATGGGGGTAACCTTCTTTAGTCCGTCGCCTCCCACCACATGGGCTATCTTGGAGCTAGAGCATTGATTTCGTAGCCTGGCGGCTAAGTATTTAGTGGCTTTCCCACTATTGTGGTATACATTGGCTCTCAGTTTGTGGAGCATGCGCTTGGTTTTTTCTGTATTCAGCTCTTGCATTCGTGCGTAAAGCACTCTGAGCTGTTTCGCTAGGTCAGGGGTGGGCTTAGATTTATTCTGCCTAGAGATTATAGCTATTTGCCTAAGGCAATCAAGGAGGCCGGACGTATTCTGCTTCTTTAGGAAGGCGGCTCGTCTCAAGAAAAGCCCCCGTACTACTGCTTTATGCGCCGACCAAACCGTGTAGTCTGAGACCTCACCTGTCGCGTTCAGCGCAAAGTATGCTTGGAGTTCTTCTCTTATGTGTTCCGCAAAGGGCGCATTGGACAACAGCGAATCGTTTAGACGCCAGGACCCCCGGCCCCGAAATTGGAAAGTGTCTAGTAAGTTTAGATAGACGGGACTGTGGTCTGACCAGGATATTTCCCCTATGGTGCACTGCGTGAGTTGCGGCAGTAGTGTCCTGTGTAGGAGAAAGGTGTCTATGCGCGTGTATGTATTGTGGACTCTGGAGTGAAAAGTGTAATCCCTGTCTGTCGGGTGCATGGTCCTCCAGGCGTCGTATAAGTCGTATTGGTCAAGGAGTTTGGAGAGTGCTTTACATGATGTGTCCAGTCTCCGTTTGTTTGCGCCCGTGGGGGTTGCAGTAGTGTCTAGCCCTAGCGATTGTATGCAGTTAAAGTCTCCGCAGAGTATCAGGTCCCCTAACCTATAATCTTCGATTTTGCGCAGGAGGGAAGACAGAAAGTGGCGTGGTCGGTCGTTGGGCAGGTACGCTGCCACCAGCGTCAGTTGTGTATCATTGAACCGACCCACCAGTATAACATATCTCCCCTCTGGGTCTATGTACTGTCGCTGTGGAGTGTAGGCTACATCTTTGTGGATAAAGATCGATACTCCCTTGGATTTTGTGGCAGAGAGAGAGTGCACTTGCATGGGGAATTGTCTAGTAAAGATAGCTGGGGGGTGGGTACGTTTGAAATGTGTCTCTTGTATGCAAGCTACGTCTATACCATTGGTTGTAAGGTCTTTAAGAAGGAGTCTGCGCTTGCCTGGGGAGTTCAAGCCATTCACATTATATGAGACTAGTTTCATACTTAATTATTTTGTGGGCAGGTACACTAGTGGTAGTAATTCCTATGCTTGCTACTGAAGCAGTGCTGGGCACAGTACGGTCGAATAGGCGTATTGGTGGAGGCTGCAATGTATAGTTTTCCTGGAGGGTGGGTTTCGAGGGGGACCCGTTGGTGGCCCCGAGTATGTCTGGGTGGGAGGGGATAAACAGGGGGGTAACTAGGGGGGGAGACAAACACGTGGGCAACCAGCCCTATCTTGCTTCCAGCTAGGAAGCCAAAATGCCCCGAGGAGAGCTCGGGCGCATGTGGTTGGGGTCGTGGGGGTGAGCGTCCTCTTTGAGGTGGTGGCTCACTGTGGTGGCGGCAAGGAGCGTTGCCATGCTAAGGATGAAGGGTGAGTAGTAGGCATGAGGGGTTGTGCCTCCTTTAAAGCTTCGGGCAATGTGGGGGAGGAGGGTGAGCTCACAGTACTCCCCGAGTCTCCTCTGCACCGGCAGGAGGTTCAATACATGGAACACATGAAAGGGTGCTTCCCATGAACTGTGGGGGGGGGGGGGAGTGAGCGTCAGCACCCCCATGAAATCATAACCAAACATCTGAACAACATTCAACCAAAATATGCATTATAATACACTGAGGGGAGGCGGGTGACCACTTAAGAGGTCAAAGATTTTACCGCAGTCCTTGGAGATGGCATTCTCCTCGTGTATCAGCTCACAGTCCACTCCGGGGAAAGTCTTGGGACCTTGGAAGGGAGATGTCGGTGTACCTCAGGCATTTGGAGGCCCCAGGATTGTAGCTTGGCGATTCCTAGTTCCAGTGTCGGAATGGCGTGTAGGGCATCTCTGTAGTGAATCAGGAGCTTGGCGGGGTAACCCCATCGGTAAGCGATGTTGTGGTCTCTCAGTGTGGTTGTCACTGGGGTTAGGTTCTTCCTGAATTGTAGCGTCGCTGCAGATAAGTCTGCAAAGAGTTTGATTCGGCTGTAGGGGTCTGGCAAGCCTGAGGCCCTGCTGGCTTTCATCAGCTGCTCTTTGGTATGGTAGAAGTGCACTCTGGCAATGACATCTCTCTCTGTGGTTGGAGGGAGGTGCTTTGGGCGTCTTAGCCTGTGTGCCCGATCCACTATAAGCTGATCCGGGTGTATTGTGGGAGTGAGGGCTTGGAACAGATTCGTCAGGTAGTTTTCTAATTCTTTTGGGGCAACTGTCTCTGGAATACCCCTTATACGTATATTGTTTCTCCTGGATCTGTCTTCTAGGTCTGCTAGTTTAAGTTGGTAGCTAGTGAGGGAGTTCTCAAAGCCCTGCACCCTGTCAGCTAGGCTGTTATGGGCCTCTGCAAATTCATCCATCTTATGTTCTAAGTGGGAGGTGCGCTGGCCTACCTCAGTGATATCCTTGTGGAGGTCTGCTGCCAAGGTTTGCAATTGGGTTTTCATGTTATTCTGCAGCTTGTCTGAGAGCTCTGCAAACATAAGCCGCATGGTGCCGACCGTGAGGGGTCCGTCGTCAGCCGCTGAGGATGGTGAGGCTGGTGGTGACATTGAGCCGTCTCGTGAGTCTCGCGCGGCGCCATCTTTGATCAGGCCGCGTCCGTCCCGCGCTTTTGTCTCGGCGGTTCTCGCCAGAAAGAAGGACTCCCGGTCCGATTTGGCGGCCTTGCCCTTTTGCCTCTGTGACATGGTGGAGCGAGGAGTGAGGTTTAGTGCTCGTTAGTTCGATTATTTTGCTCCAAAGTGCCGAAACCCGCGGGAGCTTCAGAAGTGTGCGTCCATTCAGCTCCGGTACCAGGCCACGCCCCCAATAGGTGTACTTTTAAATGTTAAGACACAGAGGAGAGACTTGGAGACAGACGCTGCTCCATCTTAAAATGACAGAGAGGCTGACATGATGACATGTTCAGAAGGGTATGTTAACCTATTAATGATATTTGCAAGCATGTAATTTAATCTTATAAACTCTGCTATAATCGATTTTATATTTATATTTTCATATAATAAATATCCAAAAAGACAAAACTATTGCTTTCCAAGACAATCCTTATTTTATATTGTATTCTCAATTATTTATATATGTTAAATAGAGGATCTCTTACTAACTATATAAATTATGGCTAAGATATCTGTATGGTTAGCCCTGCTAAATTCTATGATTTAAGACATTATAGTGGTAAATAAGGGAACCACCTGCGGTTACAGTTCCAGAGTGGTATCCTTTTAAGGAGTTCCCTCTAAGGGTCCAATAATGGTATCTTTAAGGAATTTGAGGGTGCTACCCCTTTAATGGATTTTTGGGGGTGATATCCTTTTAAGGTTCCAGTACCTCGAACCACTATACATGAGTACGACTCAAATCTGTAAATAAAAGGCCAGTTAGAATACTTACCTTTGCCTGGATTCGAACTTGGGACCCTGGGGTCCAACATCCATGTCAGAGAATTGTGAGCCCAAGAGCAGCTAGGCTAACTGACAGCC